CAGCAGTTCCCCCAAAAGCCAAGTATCTGTGGTGTGTTCTATGTCCCAGGAGGGCCACGTATACTGAAGAACACAAAAACTTGTCCAGCCCATTACAGCAGCATTATTCATAGTAGTCAAAAAGCAAAACCCAAGTGACCATCAACTCCTGAATGTATAAGCAAACTGTGGTACATCATGCAATGGTAGTTACTCAGCCACACAAGGGAATGCAGTACTGACACACACTGTAATATTAGCAAACTTTCAGAATATTATGTGACATCAAAGGCCACCAAGTGCAGATTCCATTCACATGACATGCTCAGAAGTGGCACAGCTACAGCCATGAAGGGGAGAGTAGCAGTCGCTGGGGGGCTGACACAGGAAGGAGTAAAATGTGATTCCTCTCCAGCATCCACCTTCTTTTTTGACTAAAGAAATGTTCTGAAACATGATGTTTGCACGCCCCTCTCAATAGATTATACGGACTACCAACCACTGAATTTGTACACTAAAAGGGTGTATTTCGTGATACGTGAATTTACTTCAATTAAAGAAAGGAAATGCTAAACAGAATTACTCACCATTAGTGAAAGAATATCTATTCACTAAAAGGGAAAAAAAAATCAGAGGAAACTCAAGATGTTCAGGAATGAAACAAGATGGACAGAAACATGTAAACAGCTAGAGACTATTTTTTCCTAACATATTTAAAATACAGATTGAAGCACAAATTACAACATCGTCCTGTGGACCTCAGAGTGGAGGCAGACAAAACACACACATCAACCCCAACACAACGGAGGGCATGAGTGGACAAGTGCAAGTACCTGGTTCCTCTGTTTTATGAAGTGATCCAAGGCAAGCGTCTCTAATTTGAAAACCCAAAGCCTGAAACATCTTGGGTGTCGTATAGGTTCATCATATCAAAGCTGAAAAATTTTGGATTTTGGAGCATTTCAAATTTTTGAATTAGGAATGTGTTCAAACAATAAAAGAATTTTTGCAGATATTCCAAAATCCAAAGGAATACACAAATTGGAAGCACTTCTGGTCCAAAGCACTCAGCTAAGGGATCGCCAACCTGTGTATTAACCTTAAGCAGACTTACAAAAGCCAATAATACACATTACAATCTCTAATTGCTGAAGTTTTTAAATCTCTAATTGCTGAAGTTTTTAAATTTTTAAAACACCAAGTGCTTCAGTTTTAAAAGCCAACAGATCAAAGAATCCCAATAGGAAAGGAGGATGTGAAGATGACCTGCCTGTCACACTCATCACCCCATTGGTCACCAGGGCTGATTCAGTTGATCTGGATGGCCAGTGTCCCCTTCCTCCTTTACCTGTGTCCCTCTCAGTGCTGCATGCATGCTCAGTCAAAGAAGATGACTACTCTCAACACAGGAGGACCATTTCCTCATCAAGGCTATAGGAGTAGCTATGCTCCCCTGCTAGAACCTCCAAACAAGCTCTCAAGGGAATGAAATAGACACGAGGGATTAAAATAGACACAAAGAACACATGAATGCTGTGCCCAAGAACACACTGCTCAGGAACTTCTGCTGGACAATGAATTGCCTGCAGTTGGGGCATGGGGCAGACAACACTATGGTCATTCTTGTTCTAAGAGACAAACCATCCAGACTAAAGGAGACTAAAGAAATATGAAATTCAAGCACACTATAGGATCTGAAGCTGGAGACAAAACTATGCTAGAGCAACACCATCAGGCAAATTCTTATAGGCTCAATAGGCATCCTAGCCACGTTTGCAGATGGAAATTCCAGAGAAACAAGAATTTTCATTTTCAGAGAAATCAGTCCTGCTATGGGGTGAGTACCCCACAAAGGCCAGATGGTGGAGGTTTGGTCCCCAAGGTGACACTACTGAGAGGCACAATCTGGATGGTAGGTCCTGTGGGAGGGCTGATGGTATGGGGGAGGTTCCCCAAAGAGACTATGGGCCCTGTTCCTTCCTCCTTCCTCTGGTTTGTATCAGTCAATTGTCTCAGGTATTTCATTACAGTAACATGAAGCTGACTTATGCACTTTACTTTCCTCCTTGCTTTAGTTGTGACTGCTTTTCCAAAGACTAAATATACACAAAGTCCTCTACTACACCCAAAACCACATCATAGTAAGTCACAAAGCTAGGAAACTCCTTCATCTGCACTAACAATACACTCATTTGTTGCATCTTCTAACAATTAGAGGGCTGAGGATTTAGCTCAGGGACACAGTGCCTGCCTGGCAAGCATTAGGTTCTGAGTTGGATTCCTAGTAACAACCCCCAGAAAAAAAATTAGGAATCTATAAAAATGTTTTTGTGTGGTACTGCCGAGTGAACCCAGGACCTTTATACCAAGCTAACTTCCCAAACTTCACTTTTTATTTTTAGACTGAGACTATCTTGGTTACTTTTTTCTTATTGTTAAGACAAAATACCTAATGCTTAAAATTAAGGGAGCAAATGGCTCATGGCTTGTGGAGATTTTACTCTGTAATCAGCTGATTCCAAGGCAGGCTGGCATAGTGAGGGGTGACCGCTTATGGTGGCAGAGCAGCAAAAACAAGAACAAAAACAGGGGAAGCAAGCCTCTTCTCCTCCTTTACATTGTAATCAGGCTACCCTTCTTGGGGCGGGTATAGCACTTAAACCTTAATCCCAGTGCTAAACAATGAACCAGTCACAAACTCTAAATTCAGGTGCCCACAAAAAAACCTGCCCCCCATGACCACATGAGGCGTTGGGTGGTGGTGGTGGGGCAGGACCAAGCAGACACAAACCGTAAGAGTCTATGTCACTAAACTGTGCAAGCTGGGTTTGAACTTGCAGTCCTCCTTACTCAGCCTCCCAGAGTGCTCCAGCAAGGCCTGTTCTTGTTCCTGCTGCATCATCACCCTACTCTGACAACCCAAAGTGGGAAACCACAGAAGCACATTTCTGGCTGTCTCTGGTGAAGGGCACATGGGACAAGACCTCTGGAGAAGGTAATCATCCCTGACAGCCACAGCTGGAAAGACAGCAGGCACCCGGAGCCTGTTTTTAGAACACTAGAATGAACATAAAGGAACGCACAAAGCAAACACTCAGACCCAGCATCGGTCCTGGGCTATCGAAGATGCAGCCCTGATGGGAGCTGGTGCAAAGGGTGCTGGATGCAGGGTGAGTGGGAACGCATTGCACTTTCTGATCAGCTTTGTTGTGAGTGCAAACTGATGTAAAAATGGTGAAATTTGAAATATATCTGGTCTGTGCCCCCAGTTCCAGTCAAGAGAGCTCCCAAAATCCTTGAAAACATTGGAGTTTTTGGTTATTTATATGAGCACTCTTCAGGAAGGCTCTGGAATGCCCAGGGAGGGGCCTGTCACCAGAAAGGCCAGTGAGGACCAGAGGACGGGACTTCCACCCAAACTGCCTACCTCTAGCAGAGGAGGGCCGGTTCCGGGGCCTGCTGAGCACGTGTGAGTACTGGGGGCACAGAGCTCACACGCACCACTCCTAGCCTTGCCCTCTTTCATGAGGCTGCCTCCAGGAGATCTCCTTTATAGCACACTAGTAAAAGGGAAGGAAGTACTTCCCCAAAGGCTGAGTTGTTTCAGCAAATGCCCGAACCAGAGGAGGGAGCTGGGGAACCCAACTTCCAGCCGTCGGGCAAAAGTGGAGGAGGCCTGGACTTGTGATTGACATCTTTAGGAGTTGGTTCTGTGAGACTGAACCTCACCACGCGGGATCCCAGAGCAGAACTGAACTGAGGGATGCCAGGCTGGAGTACAGCAAGCTGGAAAAGTGCTTGGCTTGAAAAAATGCATCCATCTGATGTTGCAGCATAGAGAGATCAGTGTGTTTTCCCAAATACAGAGTCTATTAATTTCAGAGACTAACAGTAAGGCCTGGCCATCAGCAGCTGGTACTATTTGTCAGGCTCTTCCTCAACCTAAAATCCAGGAGTGCTCTGTCCTAAAACCTCTTCTCTTCTCCAGTACAGTCAGTAAAGAAGGATCAAGTCTGCTTTCTGCCTTTAAATAAACCTGTGCATGGCAATCCCACATTCTAACTCCAACACCTACCTGCATGCCAGGCTGCACTATCTCCTGGACTGTCCTACAACTTCCAGCATGTCCAAGTAGGACTGATTTCCCCAGACCCAGCCCTTACAAAGCTTTCTCAGTCTCGGTCCCTGGTAAAACCATCCTCTGGCTCCTTTTGCTACAAACACCCAAGCCCTCAGGAAACCTCCTTTGACGTCACTTTCAAAACCACACCCTGAGCTGACCAATCCCCATGTACTGCATGGCCTTTGCCCTGGTCCAACCTGGAAGTTCAAAGGCTCCCCACCACTCTGTGGGGCCTGCTCTCAGCCCACGCTCCACGAAGTCCCCTTTTGCTTCACACCCACAAGGCTCCAAGACGGCGCCCCACAGCACCGTGACCTCAATCTCCACCCAACTGCCCTTGGCCTTCCTGCATCCCCAAAATTCCTAACCTCACAGGTCCTAATCCCCAGGACCTGAGAAAGTAACTGCATTTGGAGAGGTAAATGAGGTAAAAGGAAGTCACTGGTGGGAGTCTGAATCCTTTAGAAGCTATGGGTTTGTTAAAAGAAGAGACTAGGAGAGACACGACAGAGGACAATCCTGTGAGGACGAGAGGACAGCAGTGTCTACGAGGTACCCATAGCGCCTCAGGAGGAAACAGCTTCACTGTGGACTTCCTGCTGTGAGCCTGTCTCGGGCACTGTGCATGGCAGCAGGGGCTGACCTGTGCCTCTGCTTCTCTGCATTCTCAGTACCCTCTGCCCACTCCAGGAGCCACCACTCCACATCTGTCTGCCTTCTGGTGTGATTAGATAGTGTCGGTGGACACTAAGCCTAGAAGATGTAAATTTCACACTCAGTAAGAGGCAGAGAAAGGAAAACATCAAGTCTTATCTGGTTCTACCATCAACACAAAATATCAGCACTAGACTTTTACCAATACAAGGTAACTCCAGGAAGAAATATGACAGCTACTTACTTTTCAACCCAGAGCACTGAGACAAGTTTTGTCCCCCTCTTCTGGGCCTTATCCCAAGTGCTCTGGTACCCATCTTTGAAGACAACATGAGTTACTTGTTTGTTAAAAGTTTTTGAAACCTGAGGAAAAATGCAGAAAACAAAATATACATTAATATTTATTCACAGATGTTTATGCACAATTGGTCAAAAAAGGGACCATTCAGTGTATGTCACAACAAAAATGTTTATAACTCCAACTCTCGGAATCCATCAAAGAAATACCCTGGTAAATGTGTAACACTGCTAAAAACACATCTGCTCCAGTTTCTCTTTTTTTATTCACATAGGCTTGTGATCTACAATAATTACATTTATCTTGGACCTGCTCCAGTGCGTAGAGGTACCATGTCGTGTGCTTACTGCTACTCCTCCAGGAAAGGCTCGAAGTAGGATTAAAAGAACAGAATTGCAGCCCCACAAGGATAAAAAGAACAGAAAAGAAGGGTGCATAAGAGGAACCACATGAATAGCAGCTAGAAAGAAGAGCAAGTAAGACAACTAAAGACACTTAAGAAAAGCTCTCTAAAGAGACAGAACATGAAATTCCAAGGAAACAGACAAATGAGAAAAGGAATATCTAATTAAAATTGAAAGTGTTTAAAACAAGGGTGGTGGTATATGCTGAGTGCTGGTAATTCCAGCACTCAGGAGGCTAAGGCAGGAGGGATCATGGTGAATTTGAAACCTGCCAGAGTGATGTAATAAGTTTAAGGCTAGCCCAGACTACATAGTGAAACCCTGTCTCAAAAAAAGCCCCCCAAAAAGTGCCGAATATTTTCAGAAGATAGACTCATGTGATAAGATGAGATCATTTTTCAAAGGGATCAGAAATCTAGATTAAAGATAAGAGGAGGAGCTAAAGATGGCAGATCGCTAAGCAGCAGAATACACAGGCTCCCTGAGACAGAAAACTCAGATGCCGGAATAAAACATCGTGAAGAGGTCCAGGCAGAGGGAGATGGGTCCTCTTGACCAAGGAAGAAACTAAAGGGAAAAGAATTGGTTAAAGATGCAGTTCTGGGGCTATCATTGGAGCAGCTAAGATTAGTGGCCATGGTGCTCTTGCCCGAGTGCTCAAACTCCCAACGCTGCAACTCCCCTGAGCCACCCAAACTCCCGCCACTGTGACTTGCCCCAGCTGCCGGAACTCCTGCCGACTACAACTTGCTGCAGCTGTGGTCATGCTGAAGTCGGAGAGCCCAATGGAGAACAGAGCCAGCAAGGGACCTGCAATGAGTGCTGGGAAAAGACCCTTCCACAGGAAAGGGGCGACCAACTGGACAACATGTTGGAATCAGGCAGAATGGGCAGGAACAAGGAATAGCAGTGACTTCAGTCAGTTGTGCCCTTCCCAGACCCAGACTGGTGGGATCTGCTTGGCCTGGGTCACACCCCTGGCTGGGACCCAACTAGTCGTCCCAAATCAATTCCGTACATGTGGCACACACTAATGCAGTGAAGGCCTCCAAAGGTTGACTGACCCGTAGGGGAGGGGCCAACATATGCCACTCCTGCTTGCATGTCAATGACCAACAGCAAACTGGAGAGGGCAGAAATCCCCAGGCAGTGCACTTTAGAAAAACCTTAACAAACAAGGAAAGGGGCTGGGACCTCCTCTATACACCTGTATGGAAGAAACCAAAAACATGACAAGAGAATGAAACAAGAAAAAATCCTCAGCCTCCAGCCCTGAGAATATTGATCCAGGAGAGGTAAATACAAAAGAGATTGAGGGCAGCAAACACACAGTATCAGACACACCACCAATGGACATAAAGAGATATCTTCAGGATCTCACAGATGAGCTCAAAAGTGAAATATTTAACCAAATAAAGCAAGATATAAGCAGATTAATAAAGCTGGCAAAACTGCTTGAAAGAAACTAAGGATAGACTATCAAAACTTGAAGACAGGTTTTCAATGTGTGATCATGAAAGGAAAGATCTCTTAAAAATTAACAAGGAAATAAGCAGTAACAATACAAAAGCTAGAAGGCAATAAGAGGATCTATAACTTAAGGAAAAAGAATGTGAATGAAGAAGCAGGGGTTAAAAACAAAGGAAACCAAAAAAAAAAGGAAACACAAAGGCTATTCATAGAAATCATTAAGGAAAACTTTCCAAGCATAGGAAAAGGAAATGATATTCAGATATATGAGGCATGCAAAACTCCAGCCACCTACAACCAAAACAGAGCTACACCTAGACATATAATAATCCAGATGCCAGAAATTCATCACAAGAACAGAATATTAAAAGCCATCAGAGAAAAGAAACAGATAACCGATAAAGGAAAATCCATCAAAATCTCAGCAGACTTCTCCAAACAGACCATCAAATCAAGAAGAGCTTGGAGTGAAGTATTCCAAGCCCTGAAAGAAAATAACTTCCAGCCCAGATTGATGTACCCTGAAAAACTGTCTCTAGAAATTAATGGAGAAACAAGATGCTTCCAAGACAAAGAGGAACTGGGGAAATTCATGACCACCAATCTAACTCTATAGAGAATACCGAAAGACATTCTAGAGAGAGAAAAAAAGTACCAGGATTTCAGGAACAGTGGCAGAGAGGCCTCAATGAATGGAACAGAAAGTGGAATGAAGGAGAAAAGCAGACAACTAATGACAGAAAAATAGTATAGCAGAAATGAGGCAGAGAAGGTTGGCTATAATCTCTAATATAGATGGCCTTGATACACTTAAAAAAAAAAAAAGAACAGGCAGAGTAGATTAGAAGTAGGGCCCACTGAGATGCTCTGTATAGGAAACATAATTAACTTGAAAGAGTTTATAGACCGAAAATCAAATATGAGAAAACAATGCTCTATGTGACAGGGAACCAGAGAGTAATTAGAGGCAACTTGACCAGCACCTGCAGATAGGTTGGAAAGACAGGCTTTAATAGGTAAAGGAATACAACTTGAGATCAAGTCCAGGAGGGAGAAGGTTCGGAACCACTTAGGTAAATAGCAGGTTGCTGCCCTCCCATCTAAAACCTGAGGGAGTTAGTGGGACCCAAAAGGCACAGTGCACCCTGTGGGAGTGAAAGGGGAGGAATAGTCTAAAAAAATAAGGCAGAGAATATTGTTAATAGTGTATCAGGATTTAAAACCCACATTATTCACACTGCTCTGATTAGATAGATTATATTCTGTTCCAGTTTGTCTATTTGCACTAGATTTGAGGACACAGACAGCTATCCCAAAAATAGGAAGATACAGTGTGGTGATCATCCTTAATTTCCTATTAACTTAATCTGAAACCCTGTATAACTTACACTGTTTTATCATGAGTGATCTTAGTTGAATCTAGTTTGTTAGATTGCTGTTTGGTTATCGACAGATTTTATTCAAATCTGTTTTGATTGTTAGTATCAAGTCTGAGAGTACAGGCAACTACACTGAAGATGATTAAGATTCAGGATACCCATTCTGGTTTGATTATTACCTGCTTTTAAAGTTTTATACTATCTACAATGTTTTGTTTTTATTAATATTGTTATGTACTGCTATATTCAATTATACTATGCCTGATGATATGGACAATTCTATTGAAGATAACAAGAGACAACACAGTAATCATTGTAGAACACCTTGTACTATGGTTTTATATGACTTTTTGCTCTCATGTTTTTATAGGAATATGTTTTGTTTTGACTTTCTTTGTTTTGTTTCTCCCTCTAATACAGAAATAGAAAAACATGTAGACGCATGCATGCATAGAACACATAAACAGTTTATGAGAACTGATCGTGTAACACATGATGAAATGAACATTGAAGAAAATGAGACACGACAGTACCCAGTGCTGATTCCATAACATCATGATGTGAAATCTAGCAATACTATTATTCTTTGTTCAGAGTGATTTTAGTCTGTTTTACTTTGTTTAATCTTAACACACATGAAGGTATGGACAGCTATTTTGAAGAGAATGAGAGACACAATGACAGCCATTGTTGACTTCCCTGTTGTCTGATCTTGAAGACCTAAAACGCTTCCTCATCTTGTTCAGGTCAGTTCTATATACTATGTTGTTTCATGTGAATTCTCTGTATGGTCAACTATTTGGAAGAAACAGACAATATGATAGATAGTGAAGATTTCTGATTGTCTTGCTTTGAAATTTATGTCTCTTAAATTGCTTTTTTAATGTTCTGTTCTGTTCTATTGTGTTTAATTTTACCCTCTTTAAAATAAAAAAAAAATCTAAAAAAAACACAAAAGGATCAGAAATCTAAACAGCTGCTGGAAATTTAAAAAATGACATAAGTAAAAAACAAAATCCACAGACATGATAGGCAATGAGGTTGGTAAAATTTCCCTGGCCTCAGAGACAAATGGGAAGGAGGGAAAACGGGACACAGAAACTCAGACCATCAGCTCTGCAGCAGGGCAGAAGCAATGCAGGAACAGGGAGATGAACAAGGGAAATGGTTACGGAAAACTTTCTCAAACTAAAAGACATCTGTTCTAAATAACTCTCCCACCACCAAGGGCCCAGCGTGAGAATGCAGTATCTGGTTTGTTTGATTTTATTATCTGTGATGGTACGAACAGCTATTTTGAAGAAAACAAGACATTATAATAGCCAGTGCTGATTTAATATCATCTTGCTCTGAAGTCCTACCGCACTTTTGTTCTTCTATTGCCATTGGTTCTATCATGTTGTATCTTATTATATTTTACTGTGTGTGATATTATAAACAAATTTTCTATGGAAAATGAGATAATATAGTAGCCATTGTTCATTTTCTGTTATTTGGTTCTGAATGCTCTCTAACATTTTCATTCTTTTGAATGGTTTTATACTATTTTGTTACGTTTGATACTATTGTATATGAAGCTATGCTCAACTATTTCAAAGAAAGAGACATTATGGTAGTTACTGTTAATTATGGGTTGTCTTGTGAAACATTGTGTTGCTTACATTGTTCTGATCTGCTCTGTTATGTCCTCTTTTGTCTTATCTCTTTAAAATTAAAAAAAATTAAAAAAAAAAAAAAAAAAAAGAAAATGCAATGTCATACCAAGTGCATCACCACGAAGCTTCACTATGACCAGAATTAAGAAAAATGCTACAACGGTGGGAAATGGGGAGATAAGCCACAGTCATATAGTGGGAAATAAGAAGGGAACCAGGCCCAACGGTCTTCCACACTTTCTTTCTCCTTCATTCTTCCCTGTCTCATTCTGGGGTCCCTGGTGCCATCCCTTCCTTTATATCCTTAACAGGCCTCCTCCTGCAGCCTTCCTGCTAACCATACCCCAGTGGCCAACAGAAACATTATGGCCTCATCTGACCCCCGGGGTTTGGACTTCTTGTCTTATGATCTGGTCTTGGCCAGTTGGAGTTCCAGATTTGTCTACCCAATGTCTAAGGACACGTTTCTGATATGCCCACATTCACAGCTTCTCCGTTAGAAATCTGTCCTGTGCTCTCTGCTGTGATTACCAGTCAGTGCACTCAACACAACCTGGGACAGAGTCCAGGTTTCATCTCAGAGTCCCCCTTCTCACTCTATGCCTGCAAGATCAACTGCTCTGGAAGCAACACAGCTCCCAATTCTTCAGATGTGAGTTTTGCTTTCTCTTCCACCACTTACCTTCCCAAGGCTATGTATGCCTTTTTTGTTCTAATTAATAATGCCCCAATTAAGAATATGGAAATGTATCTCTCCACCTATCAGAAAGCCCTCCTATGTATCAACGTTAAAAGGAATTTCTTACCTTTGCCCCCATATCCATAAGCTGCTCTGTAAATGTCTTTGAGTAATTTTCTGTCCCATTGGAAGACCACACTTCCACATAGGCCACCACATCTGAAAACAGGATATTAGTATGAAATACTAGGGAGTAATCACAGCACCCCATGTCCAAAGCGTTATTAAAAAATAAATATGAAACTTCTACTAAAAACATATTCAAAGAAGCACCAGCGCTACTCGTGGTACATAAAACTAAACACACATTCTGGTTAACAATCCTATTATTTACTACTCTTCTCTAATTCCTAAACAAGGTGTAATTATTCCAGGGCAGGAGTGGCTTTCTGGAAAGAGTCATGGATCACATATTGTGCAGATCATCCAATTACTCAGCTGCACAGGCAAGAGAGCAAAACAGTAGCCAGGGCAGTAAGTGAATGAGCCAGCACCGTTATGCTCTAGGAAAACTTTTTTTTTTTAGGAAAACTTTCTTTATGGAGCAGGAAATTTGATCAAATTTTCGTTTGTCATTCTTACACTTCTTTACTGCATCTGACCATCTAACGCCGGAAACAGCGTTCTCCGCTCCCGGGGATCCCCAAAAACCGGCGCGAACAGGTGGGTCGGGCACAGCTGGGCGGGCAGCGTCTCAGAACCCGCGGTCTTGGGGAACTTCCAGACGTGCGGCCGGGGCGAGAAACACAGGAAACGCAAGCTCGACGCATCTCTCCCGAAGCCGCACTGAGTCTGGAAGCAGCCGAGCCCCGCGGCCCCGCTCTCCCGGCCCGGCGTGCAGCCTGGGCGCGACCCCACGGCCCCAAGCGCGCGGGGATTCCCGGGCCTCCCCGACGGCCCCGAAGCGCCGGCGCCCCGCTGCCCCCACCCCCAGGAGCCCGTCCATCCTGTCCCGTCCCCCCCCTCCCTTACAGGCGCCTCGCGCGCCGAAACAGGAAGTCCCCTCACCTTTCAGCACCGCGGACCCGGACGCCGCCATGGCGCGCGGCAACAGAGAGCACAACTACTCGGACGCACGGCTGGCAGGCTGCACTGAGCGTGCGCGAGACCGGCGCGCCCCGCCCCTCCCTTGAGGCTCCGCGGCACGGCCACTCCGGAAGGCGAGACAAGGAAGGGGCGTGGACCCCTGGGAGAGGGGCGGGGCTTGCCCCGGTCACGCCCCCTCAGGCTTCGTTGCAGCGCCCTTAGGTCTTCTGGCTGTCGCGGCAATGTTGTCAAGGCGCTTGGCTTTCCGGGTGGTGACTTAAAGAGTCGCTCCTGGGCTCGTCTGGCAGCGGGATTGGGATCCCGTCCCAGCAGGTCGCTCTTGGGGGCCTGAGCGCCCCTGCACTCTGAATCCCCACGCCGGAGTCACTCCCAGCCCAGGCACTTCGCCGACTCCTTGAGATTGACATTGGGGCATCACTGTGATCCGCGCGCGGGGCCGCCCTGGGAGCCCTCCTGGCTCAGCATCCTGGTGACTTGGCTCCGGTGACTGGACCCCAACACGAAGGGAACCCCGAGATCCCCGGAGTCCTTTTAATTTTGTTACATTAAAAATTAACATACTTATTGTTATGATATCTTCTCTCTCTTTTTTGTTTTGTTTGGTTTTGTTTTTTGACATAGGGCTAGGCCCTCAAGGAAGCCGGCACAGAGGACCACGTGTCTTGTGATCTTGGAGGAGCCACACATCATTTGATGTGAGTCAGATCTAAAGACAGAAGGCAAAACAAATTCAGCCACACCCTAAGTGTAAACATAGGGATTAAGTATGGATCCCCTTGAGGAACCAGGAGTCGCCATCCCAAAACCCTATGGAAGAGTTGCTGATCCTTAAAAGAATGATCCCTTGTTACAGGAAGAGTCGCTGATCCTTAAAGAATGGTCACTTGCTACACCACTCACTTCTCCACTTGTCCCTGATTTGATCAATTTTACCTGAACAATTAAACTTATTGGTTGAGCATGGTTCTGTCCCACCTCATGCCCGTCTTCCTTACAAGTTCCCAGTTTTCCCCACTTTAGACCCACCTCCTCTCATGGTTTTACTCGATAAAAATCCCTGGAAAATATAGAATCCTTGGCAACCCACTCGGGACCCCTTTTGTCTCTCTCCCAGACAGAAGCTTTTTTTCTCCCAATAAATATATTCTACTCTTAATCTCCATTGTTCCTAAACTTCATTCTTTGATTTTAAAGAGCACGAACTCATACCAGACATCTAGTAAGTCAGGACTTTTTTCCCCTGTATCAAGACCTCCCATCCTGCCTGGCCTCTGCCATCATCGCTGTTCTGCTCCCTACTTCCTAAGTTGTTTCATTCCATGGGAGTGAAACCATGACCTATATGTCTTTCTGTAGCTATCTCATCTCACACAGGGTCATATTCATCCCCTGGGTTCATCCATGTTAGTATGGAATACAGAGTTCATTTCTAATGCGTTTGGTAAGTAATATTCCATTTTGGATTTATACTATGCTCCCCAAAGCCTCTCATCCATTGATAGACACGCTGGTAAAATTCCACTTCTTGGCCTCTTTGAATACTGCTGCAACCAGCATGGGCACACAGGTACTCTGTCACACTGGCTTTATTTCCTTGGAGAGACACCCAGCAGTGATATAGCTCATGAATATTTTCTCATTGCTGAGACAAAATACAGTTAAAGGAAGGAAGGTTTATTTGGGTATCAGTCCATAACCGGCCTCCTCCAAGCAGGGTGGCATGGCAGAGGGGCAACCATTCTGGTAGCGAAAGACTGCAAAAGCAACATGAGGGAAGAGAAGGGTCAAGCCTCTTTCTGCCCCTTAGGTTGTATACAGGCTACCTGCCTTAGGGCTGGTGTAGGTCTCACAGCCTTAATCCCAGGATTGAACCATGAATCAATCACAAACTCTAGATTTGGCCACCTCTGAAAAGCCTGACTACAACTGTGTGAGGGCCACCTGGATACAACCGTAACAGCTGGTCATTCTATTTTTTATTTTAAAGAAAACAAAACAAAACAGAACAAAGCAAACCAGAAAAGAACAATGCAAGCAACACAGGACTTCAAAGCAAGACAACAGCAAATCAATAGTGGCTACTATAATGCCTATGGTTTTCTTCAAAATAGTTGTCCATACCTTCACACACAATGAATTCAAACAAAACAAAATAGTGTAAAACTGATAAAAACAAAAGAATGAAAGCATTATGGGACTTCAAAACAAGACAATGACTATTATAATGTCTCCCATTTTGTTCAAAATAGCTGTTCATACCATCACACATGTTGAAATCAAATAGTAGAAAACATGCTAAAACTAATCAAAACAAAATCTATTTTAAAAAAAATTTATTTAAAGAAAGACTAAAAACAGAAAATAGGTAGAAATAATACATTCAGAGAAAAAAATAAACAGTAAGAATTCACTAGTTGATGTTTACATATTGTCATTTACAAATAGTTGTTCAAGATACAAAACTGGAACATGTAAAGTGAAAATCCAAAGAGTGAGACTGTAAACAGTTCTGTTCAACTGTCCAACACAAACTTAGTAACATGGTTGTTAAATCCTATGCACTTAAACATATATGCAGTTATCCATATCTTCATTTATGTTTAGATTAAACCAACTAAAGCAGGTTAAAATCATTCTGAACAAAGAATAATAGTATTGCTAGATTTCACATCATGACACTCCATGATCAGTGCTGGGTACTGTAGTGTCTTTTTTTAAAAATCTAATTTAAAGAAAGACTAAACAAAACAGAAAATGGGTACAAATAATGCGTAATTTCCAAGAAAAAGAAAACAGTAAGAAATCACTAGTTGATGATTACAGATTGTCTTCTTACACATAGTTATTCAAGATACTAAAGGGCAGCATATAAAGTGGGGATTCAAACAGGGAGACTGCAACCAGTTCTGTTCAACTATCCAACAAAAACTTAGAAATATGGTTATCAATCCTATACACTTAAACATACATGCAGTTATACATATCTTCAATTATGTTGAGATTGAACAAACCCAAGTAGGCTAATATCACTCTGAACAAAGAATAATACTATTTCTGGGTTTCACCCAGAAATATTTTGTTTATATTCTTCATCAAATGGTTCTCTCCTTTGAGTTCCTCCCTTCTTCCGTCTGTGTCTGCCTGAGGGGTGCTTAGCATCTCTTTTATTAATCTTCTTATATCTTGCTTTACTTGGCTAAATAATTCACTTTTGAACTTGTCTATGAGGTCCCATATATATCTGCTTATGTCCACTGGTGCCATGTCTGATATTGCATGTTTACTGTTTTCATTCTCCTTTGTATTTACCTGTCCTGGGTCAATGTTCTCAGGGTTGGGACCTGGGGACTTTTTGTTGTTGCTTAACTCTTCCCATCTTTTTTTGCTTCTTCCAGGAGGCCCCAGTTTCTTTCTTTGTTGGTTACAATTCCTCTGAAACACGCAGGCTAGATGACCCTTCCCACTGCAGTGCTAGTGAGTTGCAGACAGGGGCAGCTTATGCTGGCCCCTCCCCTCTGGATCAGTCAAGCTGCTGTGACCTGCACTGTATTACTTTGTGCTGCCTCCCCTCTGGGTCAGTCAAACTTCTGAGGCTTCACTGGGTTAGTGTTAGTGTGCGCCACTGCTGTAGGGACTTGATTTCAGATAACTATTGGGTCTCAGCCTAGCTCACTCCACCAATCCCATTCGGGAAGGGAACAATGGACTGAAGTTACTGCTGCCCCTTGTACTTGCCAGTCCTGCCCAGTCCCAGAGTGTCGTCCACCAGTGCCCCCTTTCTGTGGAATGGCTCCACCCCTGTCACCCACCACAGGCTGATGCAGGCATTCCACCAACCCTGCTTTCCATTTGGCTCACTGACCCCTGAACTCAATATAACTGTGCCTCCAGTGAGTCAAAGCAGCATGACCTCAGATGGCTCAGCAAGTCACAGCAGGACCCTGGCAAGTCACGGTGGGACCTCTGCAAGTTATGGTGGGACCTTGGATGGTTGGCAAGTCATTTGCTGCAGCAGGAACACTGAACCTTTAGCTGTTCCAATAATAGCACCGAGACTGTATGTTTAGTTGCTTCTTCTCACCTTATTTCTTCTTGGTACAAGAGAATTCATCTCCCTCTCTTTGCGGCTCCCCATGCTGTATTATGTTCAATTCTAAGTTGACTATCTCAGGGAGCCTCGGTAGCCAGTTGTTATCTATCCACTATCTTTGCTCCTCCTCCTCCAAAGATCTATTCTTTATCATTTTGAGGAAACTACACATTGTTCCGTTTATCAGCATTTGTTATCATTTGGTTGGTTTGTTTTGTTTCTTGGTCTGTTTTGAGGTAGGATTTCACTATATGGTTCAGCCTGGATTGAACTCACTTTGTAGCCCAGGCTGGCCTCAAACTCACAGAATCCTTCTTCCTCAGCCTCCTGAGTCCTCCTTCTTCCTCAGCCTCCTGAGGATTATAGGTGTGTGCCATGATCCCCAATTTGCATTTGCTGTCTTTTACTAAGGCAAATTTAAGATTTTGCTTCAAGGAAAAATGCATTAGCTGGGCATAGTGAACCATGCATGTAATCCCAGCACTCTGGGAGGCTGAGGCTAGAGGATCACAGATTTGATCCCAACCTATGCAATTTAGGGAGTTCAACAAAGCCTATTTTAAAGTAAAAAATAAAAATAGGGGAGTGGGGTGGCATGTAGCTCAATCCACAGTATTGGGGGTGGGAGACAGGACACACAGGAGCCCTGATGCTTATTATGCCCAGCAAGGATATGCAGGGACTCTCAGGACTCGTACGACACAGGCTTTCTCAACAGCCTACATGGGTTCCTTCCTGACTGGTTAGAAGATAATACTCCCTTCCCCCTCTTCCTTGGAGCTCTACTGAGCTTGGAGGAAGTCAGCTGCCTCCCAGGACAGCAGCTCTGGACAAAGCCATTGCATCAGACTCCATCACCACCTTGCTTCTTTGCAACCAGACGATTAACCTGGTGCTGTAGATTGAGTTTTCACCTGGAATCCATATCTTAGAAGCTTGGTTTCCAAAGTCATATGTTGGAGGTTTTGGAGTAGGTTCTTCAGGAAGTAAGTTGGGTTACATTAAGTCGTGAGG